TGAGAGAAAATGGACTTTAAGCATTGCAAATAAGCGTTTGAGAATAAAGAATTTCATATTCACATGCAAGTGTACTGTTATTAGCTTACGATGACAGATGTTAGACGCGAGATGACAAGATGCCTGAGCATAGACAATGCAGTATGCCTTTGCGACATGATCACTAGCATAAAATATTAATCTGAATAATTTGGTTTCTCGAATTTGTTCAACAACTTGTTGAATCAACCTCCTTTCTGATTAATAATGAACATATTGGCTCGAAAAAATGTGTTTGAACATGTCTCGCATCGTTATTACAAAAATTGTTCGATCCCAGGATTATCCCGGGATCAAAAATCGATCCCTGGATTAAATCTCGATCCCGGGATTGAAAAAACGTCGGGATTTTGCAAACCCTAGCGTCGATCCGTTCAGTTTTGGCGAAGTGTCTGCATACTGTTCATGCCGCAAGCCAAATCTCATTTTCCTTTCGAGCTCGGAAGGCTTAATGATTTCCGGCAGGAAGTTATACTGGTTCTGGAGTTTCCGAGGAAATCGGGTTCGAGTTGTGGCACTATTTTCCTTAGTGCCCAGCTTTTATCATTGTCAATAACTTCTGGAACTCGTTTCGTAATTTTTCGTTTTATTTCGGAAGAGATTTAAGAGAGATCGAAGGATCAGTTCAAGTGTTCATCACATATCACCATCAGTTCCGTGGAAACCGTCTCTACGAGAGTGTATGATAGCGATGATAAGGCATTTACGTGCACGCATGACACCACTAATTCGTCTCTTTCTCGTGTTAAAATGGCGCACCGAGTAGAACACGCATAATGCAGCACATAAACTGAACACCCGAGCCATTCCTCGGTGTACATCCTCATCTGCTCCACGCTATCGCATCGTTGTGCGAGCGTTTCTTTGCACCACATCGCCCCTAAACCTCACAAGTACCAAGAAGTGAATTTTCGAATCGGCTCCATTCTAAACGACTCAAAAATTCGCAGGGATCATAAGTGTACGTGATTAAATCAATATTGATTGAACGCCACGGATTGAATCAATACACGAAACACAGTGAAGGAATATGCCACCAAGATATCAGACTTTAACCCGTACTCATTGACTACCTCTTGTTATAATGCACATAAACATGGCTGAACAAAACCCCGCATCACTTCCCGAAACATACACAAAAGATGCAATAGGCTGTTGATCTGAATATTCCGTCTGTTCGAAAATACGTCAGAAGTTGTTTCGGTGGTTGTGATAATGCATTGTTGTCGAATGATAGCTTCCTTCGGACATCAAACACATCTTCTACTCATTCTTTTCCGAACATATTCGTTCATTATAATTCATTCGAAAGTACACTTTCAGTAAGGTAAATTTCTCGATTCATTGCTTATTTGCATTTGTTTACTGGCAGCACAGTAGTATTACTACATTTGAATGAACATTCATGCACTGCCAACACAATGTGTAATGTAACAAACCGTAACGTAATATTGTGCAATCTTGTGCGTTTAAATGATGCAATGTCGAAACGGAACACAGGGGTATGATAATGGCATATTTAATGGATTGAAGGCACACCTCAAGTGAATGCTGATGATTCTTGGTTGCATTTTTTTAATCAGGTGGATATGTAGATATTTGGATATTAATTGAGTGATCCAGGTGTTGAGTTGATTCGATTATGATTTGGTCTGTAAGTAATGCGCTGATTTAATTGCCAGTTCCAGTCGAGTCGAGCAGTTCTTACTGTTTGCACTGACATCAGGTTATGAGCAATATTTCAGGGTACGTAAACAACTTACAGATCAGTAGAAACGATTAAATTATGGGTGTGTTGAGAGTTACTGATCCGAGACCCGTGAGAGCTGATAATGAGCAACATATTACATATGAAGAGTACGTTTCGTTACAGTTATTACTGCGCATAATTTTCATGCAATATAATTTGATAATGATGCATATTCAGTTACATATTCGACGACGAAGTAGAAACGAATGATGATACAGCAGTTGTTGACAGCGATTCTAATGACGAACATAATCCTGTTCCAACAACCACAACACATCGCAGAAGACGTCATAAAGTTGTCATTTATTTACTTTTCATCAAATTCATATTTCCATACCCTTCTCATTTATGTACATGCGTATTCATATATGCAGTGTTCAGTTCAAATTGTATAATGTAATATTTACAGTAACGGTTTAATAAAGAAAGATAACCATCACAAATTACTGTTTAAAGGATGATCGATCTCAAAGAAGATTTGGACGTTTTCTTGAATTGGATTATCCGAATATGCAAATTAAAAGTAAACGAAAATCGATGGGTGCACGCAAATTGAGACGACTTGAAAATGGTTCTGAATAGTAATTGACTGATTGATTGAGTTGTTAGTGTTATTTTATTACAAGTCAAGTACAATAATAATAATAATTTCAGCAAGACTAATTTATGCACTAGTGGATCCAGATGATATTTGTGAGGACTATTCAGATATATTGCCATCAACAATAACGAATTTCACGAAGCTTTTCATGGAACAACAAAACATGAGAGTTAGTTGTTTTACGCTGGATTTCGTTCATCAGATATTCAGTACGAAACGACTGGTTGCACTCATTACGTGTATATATTTATACGCAGTTATTAGTGAATGGCTCTAAAGAGGAGAACGAAACGGTTATGGAATGTTTAATACACCGATCGCTGTGGATCTATTCGGTTACATTCATTCAAATCGTTGTTCGTTATTAATCCCAAAATATCATTGGTTCAATATCGTGGTTGCTTCAAACGGATACCTTGAGCGATCATTGGTTGCGTATACAGTTGATCGAGTGGAGTGCATTCTCGGGCTCATTTTGGTTCCATCTCCCCAAAACCATTGAATAATATGGAAGAGTAGCCCTACACCTTTATGCTCGCCAAATCAGTAATCGAAGTTAGACATTCTTGTAGTTGGATGATCCATAGCGTCGTTATCGTTTGTTGCGCGGAAAGGATGCTAAGCAGGGCAGAATGTGATAATGGTGATAACAGAGGGGCATAAACTCGTGATGACTTGTAAATGCTGATTAAATAAATCAGTTGATTTCAGGCATGGAATGAATTCGTTGAAAAAGATGAAGAAGAGCAACGTTCATTCTTAGAAAGAGGCAGATTTCGTGATCGGAATATTGCCAATAATGATGAGACTGTTAACGATAACAAGAGCGGTTTGAATGCTATTCAAGGACATCGTTTGGGCACTTCAAGAAATGCTCAGAATCGAGTGAGACTGAAGAGTTTCGGTGGCGGCTCAATTCACCAACAAGACGGCCCATCGAAACGACGTATTATTATTATTGGCAATTACGAGTTTTTCATCTTTAACGAATCATCATAATCGGCTACACGAGTCACGTTAAAAGTGAACGGCATTTTCAGATCGGCCGGTATATTCAGCAACCGAATGCTTCTTGCGAATGGAGACACGCTTTCAAACGATTTTCTTGCAGAAACGATTACCATGGGTTCTTATTCTCATTGTTGTTATTGTTCTGTTATGGACTGATAAGATATGATGACAAAATGTAAATAATGATATTTGTAATCAAATCAAGTTGCAGTCATTTATAAAATCAATCGAAGAGCAATTACGAGCTCATTTCGAGGAACCGTCATCCGAACGAACGAACTGGTTTTCGGATGTGATCACCTCTGCATGGTATCGTCTGTTGGTCCACGGAATATCGCAGTATTTATCACTTCAATCCACCAGTGAGTTCTCACAGAATGTTACTTGACGAATGTAGACATACCACACATTACCAATTGTAGGTATAAAGAAAGAGGATGAAGGTGGTGTTGATAAGGATGATAAAAAACTGGTAAAAGTCAACAACCCGCGTCCATTCTTCATACCACCCCACAAGAACATCGTTGAATTCGTTCATGAAGTTCGTAAAAACAAACGTGTAGACGACTGGTATGATGATTGAAGTGTTTTGCATAAATAATGCGTATTCATTGGTATTCATATCTACAATCAATACTATACCTTTCTTGTTCTGCGTGTTTCTGTTCATTGGGATCGTTTCATTTAGTTGTCGATTAGTTTCTAACACTCATTTGTAACTTCTCCGTAAACTGTTTGTTCGTTGATTTTATTTAACCTCTTTGTAAATGTGATATTATATTCTTATTTCAATAAAATTTTAATTTCATTCAAGCATTCTGCACTTGAAGTTTTTTCCATGTCACATTCCCATTTTGATATAAAAATTAATTATTTCGAGTACACGAAGTATGATTTGTGAAGAAAATGTTATGAGCCTGACGGTATGGGGTATGCAGATATCGGTATGCGTTATTTGAAGCTAAAGTTGCAGTTTGGAAACAACCTTTACAGTTGAAAATACTTTTTTCAACACGGTGAAAACATACAGAGCTTCGCTGTATTAGCGAAGACGTTTGCGACAAAAATATTGCGTTTAACGAGTAGTGATCGCCGAGGAGCAACTTTTCGGCCAGAGGAGAGGGCTCGTAGGGGAACAAATTGGGCCCGACAGAAAGGCCGGAGAGCAAACTGGCCGGGAGAGCGGTTCCTATGAAGATGTATTCGTCCGAGGGGAGACCGGACAAAACGGTCTGGGAGCAAAACTGCCAGGCGGAGGGTCTTCGAAAAATGACTGCGTCGACGAGTGATTCAGTGATTCGCGTCTTCTTTCTGATACTCCTTCCTGTGTCTCTGGATGTCTCACTCTGAGATGGTCGAGCATTCCTTTCGTGGATGCTTTTTCGAAATACAGTTTTACGCTGCATGTGTCACAAATGTGTTTTGCTGAATCATCTACAGTTTGCATTTTAAAAAGGCGACAACGATGCTGTTGTTTTTCCGGCTGAAGCCATCACCCTCACGTCGTCTTTCTGAGTGTTCTGTACGAGCCTAAAATCAGAAAATATTCACAGGTCAGACTATTAATAGAGAATGAATAAGAACAGACAGACGAACATGCAACAGAACTATTTTCGGAAAGTATATGGAACACGAAAAACGAGAAACAGTGAGAGTACAGAGTAAAACCGGAGAACACGGAAACTGGATCAGATGTGCTGGACCAAGATTCGCCAGATCGGATCAAACATTCAATTCAATAAATTTCTGGTCCACTCATTTGCGAACACAACTTTCGTCTCTTCAGGTCCCCAATCGCGCTTTAATTAGTACCGTAACAAAATACATCAGTGAGCATTGCTACACCCGTACGAATAATACAGATTATCGAAAAGAACGCTATTTTCGCTCCAGGAGCGAAGTATTCAAAAGTCCGTCCACATGTTTCGTGCAAAGGTTTGCAATTGTCGGGAATCCCACAGGGAACTTATCCTCCCCGTCGGGAAGCAAACTGGCCGGGAGGCGATTTCGACGAAAAAATTGGAGAGTGAATCGACCGGAGAGTCGTGGTCGGGAAGAATTCGCTGGAGGGAACCTCGACCAAAAAGTCGGGAAGTAAAACTGTCGGGGAATTGCTTCCCGTCTGGGATCCCGTTCCCGCACAAACACTATATGTGAGTGGGTATATGAATGCCTGAAACTGAACTGTAATCGGTTACTTTGAGCATATAGGCCACAACAAAGCTCATTTATATGAACTAGCTGTGGGTGAAAGCGGTCGAGAATCGCATGTTCCTATCAAGAAGAGCACGTTTACCTAACCCTCTAAGCTACGGCTTCTCAACTGGGGTGCTCGCACCTCCAAGAGGCGCGAGACGATATTTCATTCCAGGAGGCGCGAGATAAGATTTTATTTTTTGAACATCAAAGTATGTGAGGACGGACTTCAACGCATACATACATGTATGGAAAGAAAGCGAAGGTGAACTTTAACGTATATGATGAGGCCACATTTACATTATATGCTTGAATGTTGAAACAAATGTTGAAACATGCTGAACAGTAAAGAAATTAATAAAAAAAACACCTAGTTTACAATTATCTGAAGTGTAAACTAGGTGTTTATTATGATTTGTTCAATCTTTGCAGGAAAGGGGAGCAATTAAGTTATCAGCTGCTAAAAGGTGTGTGACACCCGGCTTTTTGAATGGTATGGTCTAATGGTACAAACTTATCTACACCACTGAAGCTCACTGCAGTGGATGTTGTGACGGGTGCGACGACATTCTAACTGTTATTGTAGGGGGTGCGAGGACATCTTAAAATTTCCCCGAGGTTGTGGGTGAGAAAAAAGGTCGAAAACCAATGTCCTACACGAATTATATCGGGATCTACTTCTTGGGAGAGCATTATTCGGTCAACGTGACTCGATAAAACCGATCAAAAACCGTGGATGCCAATGACTCAACACTGTAGAGCAAGTGTGAAAGCTTTTATTGAAAATCAAAAAATTAATTGGTAACAGACTAATAAACGTATTTTCATGCCATTAGCATTGTATTTATCGTCCCACCAAGTAAAGCATTAACGACAGGAACACTGGATGCCGGTTCCGTGCATACACTCTAAACTGATATTAGTTGAACAGAAAAATCGGCGAAACGCTGAGTATAAAACTTTTGCACGAATAGAGATAAATTTTAAAATAACGCTTAAATTTCTCCTGCTGTTTGACCGTTGCTCCACTTGCATTCGAATCATTTGGAACATTGAAGGGAGTGTGCTAGAAACACTGAATGCTAATCATTTGTACAACTTAACTTTTCCCAGTGATAACATTCAACGCTAAAACACTGTCGGCTTTTTGAAGAACTAAGCGAACGTATATTTACTGTATGTCATGATCAATATAGAACAACGTTACTTGTAGTAACTGAAAACC